GTGTCACGTTCCTACTTCTGGCCTCAGAAGTGGAAAAGATAAAGCCAGGACTGCCGTCAAGTGTTTATTCTGCTTGTGCAGAAGACACGTAAGACTCGACTGCTCTTCAGCACTCCCTGAAACATCAGGACAAGGGAGCAGCCTGGCCAGGTGACTGTGCAAAAAGCCCTAAGTGTGGGTGCATCCTCCTTAGGACTAAGGGATGAGAAAAGGAGAGCAGTGCTCTCTGCTAGGCCAGTGGATCCCAGAGCCTGGGAACTAGCAACTTAATTTTATGGGTTTATACCAGTTAGGGAGGATGGAGAATGAGCTGCCTCATATAATTCCCTATCAAGAGCTCTTCACTAGGGATGAGACTTAACCTGGGACAAAACCCTCCAGCAAGACCAGTAACATGGAAACTGAGCCCAAATGAAAGTCAGCACAACCCATGGGAACCTCTGAAGAAACCTGGATTTGTCCATAAGGCTCTGTGGCTGAAAGGGATGCAAATCCAGCTTTGGCAATGAGACTGCTTCTACAATATCCAGCACCCCTGCCTATTCCTAGACTAAACCTTGTCTTCTATACTCATCCTGCTAAACCAAAGAATACATGATAAGTAATTCTGGACATGTTTTACTTAAAGTACCTGTGAACACTGGGGTGGAAACATCAAGTGGGCAGCTGGATACATGAGTGTGGGGCTTCAGAGAACAAGTCTAGGCCAGAGACACATATTTAGCAGTTATCAGAATACAGTCAAGGGGCCAGCCTGGTGGTATAGTGGTTAAGTTTATGTACTCTGCTTCGGCGGCCCAGGGTTCAAGGGTTCAGATCCCAGGCACAGACCAACACACCACTCATCAAGCTATGCTGTGGTGGCACCCCACATGCAAAAAGAGGAAGAGTGGGGGGCTGGCCCCGTGGCCTAGCGGTTAAGTTCGCGCACTCCGCTGCAGGCAGCCCAGTGTTTCGTTGGATCGAATCCTGGGCGCGGACATGGCACTGCTCATCAAACCACGCTGAGGCAGCATCCCACATGCCACAACTAGAAGGACCCACAACGAAGAATATACAACTATGTACCGGGGGGCTTTGGGGAGAAAAAGGAAAAAATAAAATAAAAAAAAAAAAAAAAGAGGAAGAGTGGCAAAAGAAGTTGGCTCAGAGCCAATCTTCCTCACCCCCCCCCCCCCAAAAAAAAAAAAATTACAGTCAATTGGTAAGTGAAACTAGGGCAGCAGATGAGACTTGTCAGAGTCTACAACTCATGTTAAAAGAAAAAAGTGTGGGAAGGCAGACACCTACCTCCTTGGTTGATTTTAGGACTAAGTTAAGGGATATATGAAAAACCTCTTCATTTCACTTCCCTACCTCAATGAAGCCTATTCCTGTCCCTTCTTCCCTACTAATCTTTTTCAAATCTTCTTCAAATTACACTTCCAACTGAAAACACTTACCATCTCTCACAAATACAAAATGGTTAAGAATCCAAAAATCAATACACTTGGCCTTAAAGGACGCCTACACTTAATGTTCTGGAAAACCCTGTGACGTATGGCCAAAAGGATTTCTGTAGTTTCCCCATCATGGATCCAATTTGCTTAACTCTTCTCTTCATTCTATTCTAGAAATACTGTTTATCTCTTTGACTAATACGAAGCAGAGGTGCATTACGTCTCCCTTGGAGCAGCCAGGGTGGTTAAGAGTTCCAGCTTCAAAAGAACCTTTGTGGGGTTGGCCCGGTGGTGCAGCGGTTAAGTGCACACGTTCTGCTTTGATGGCCTGGGGTTCACTGGTTCAGATCCCAGATGTGGACATGGCACGGTTTGGCAAGCCATGCTGTGGTAGGCTTCCCACATATAAAGGAGAGGAAGATGGGCACAGATGTGAGCTCAGGGGCAGGCCAGTCTTCCTCAGCAAAAAGAGGAGGACTGGCAGTGGATGTTAGCTCAGGGCTAATCTTCCTAAAAAAAAAAAAGGAACCTTTTCCTGTAAGCAAAATTAACACCAAAAGAAGAAGCCAGATGTTAAAATATTGAGCAAAATGGTGCTGTCAATAATGAGAAATCCTCATGCCAATAACCTAAATTTCAAACTATATGTTTCAGACACAAACTTTCATCCCTCATCTGCAACCCATTTTTTTCCTTCCACCCACTACATCCTCTTTTGCTAAAAGTAAGACAATGCGAAAACACTTCTGAAATCAGTGAGATTCGGATACCCCAGCTGCAACTTCAAGATATCATGACTAAGCTCACATGACTCATAACTTTCCTAAATTATGCAATTTACAATAGTTCAACTGAAATCATTTTGGGTGACATGGAGTACTCCAAAAGCCAGGATTCTATTACATATTTTTGTCCTTCAGGAAAATGTTTTCAAATCCCTAATCGATATTTAGTACTGTAGTTAAGGTAATGTTTATAGGATAAGTAGGCTAATAAACAATAAACCACACTCTTTAACTACAAAACTACTCACTGCTCTTCACCAATTCAATCTAAATAATGGTAGGGTTAAGTTAAGCAACAAATTACATCCTAAACTGTCAAACATACAAACACACAAGTCATTCTTCAAAAGAAAAAATACCCACAAGGCATATTTTTATCACTAACTGTGTGAATCTGACAACTCACTACATGTTTCTGAGACTCATTTTCCCTGCCGCTTTATTTAAAAAACAAGACACAGCCTCTAAGGTTCATTTCAACTGTAACAGTCTCTCAGGGCCCCCATGATAACAATACCTGCCATAATCACTCCTCCATGTGGTGTTACAATGTCTGTTAGATCTTTCTATTCCACTATGCAAAAGCTTTTTGAAGATGGATATTGCCTGATCTTTGTACTCCAAATGCCACACACAATACGTGCATGCAGTATGTGTTCTTCAAACATCTGGTGAATAAATGGCTAAGTCTATGCATTTTTCTGGCACTGGTGATCGCACTTCGCAAATAAAAAACACATGGTCAAAAAAACTCTTATGATCTGTGAATGTTGCTGAAAACTGACCTAGAAAGTAAGCTTTTCCTCTATACCATGTACATTCCTAGAATTCATGCTACTTATTTTTCCACCTGTGAACAACAGAATGATAATAAAACAGTTGTGTTACAGTGGTCAAAATATAACTTTAGGGGCCGGCCCCATGGCCAAGTGGTTAAGTTCACGCGCTCCGCTTTGATGGCCCAGGGTTTCGCCGGTTAGGATCCTGGGCACAGACATGGCACCACTCATCAGGCCATGTTGAGGCGGCGTCCCACATAGCACAACTGGAAGGACCCACAACTAAAAATATACAACTGTGGGGGCTGGCCCCGAGGCCGAGTGGTTAAGTTCGCGCGCACCGCTGCAGGCGGCCCAGTGTTTCGTTGGTTCGAATCCTGGGCGTGGACATGGCACTGCTCATCAGACCACGCTGAAGCAGCGTCCCACATGCCACAACTAGAAGGACCCACAAAGAAGAATATACAACTATGTACTGGGGGGATTTGGGGAGAAAAAGGAAAAAAAATTAAATCTTTAAAAATAAATAAATAAATAAAAATATACAACTATGTACTGGGGGGCTTTGAGGAGAAAAAGGAAAAATAAGATTTAAAAAATATATATATATATATATATATAACTTAAGTATCTCAAAATACACATTTGTTCTTTTTATTAACATTTATCCTTATGAAGTGGGTCTTTACCCTATCCCTCCACCCTGACCACCCCACCTCAGGATTTCCCTTCGCTCTGCGCTGACTTACCGCATCTCAGCTCTTCCTAACAAGTTCCCTTGCCTTTCACTGAACTAGTCACCTGTACTCCGTTTCAATTTGAGATAACCACAAAGCAGCTGTTCAGGTAAGAACACTCCACACCTTTATTACCCTCAGGCGACTACAACGTCTGTCCATTAAATAAGAGAAAACAATTGCCATGGAAAAGTAATGCGAAATTTTTTATTAGCCATAAAGTAAGCACACATGGTGTCTCAATGGGCACAATACCTTACATGGAATCATGGTGGGATTTGGGGACCAATACAACCATGAAAAATCACTGAGGGTACAACGTCCCACGTCGGGAAGACACACTATGTTTCACACTTTATTACTAATTAATCAAACTCTCTTACATGTCAACTTCTAAAGGATAAGGTACCCAACAGTCACTATATGTTTACACAAACTAACTTCCACCGAATTTCAAATCTCTCAATATACTTCCATCCTTAAAATCCAATCTCTTTAGAAAATCTAAATAAGAACCCTCTACTTTCTAGGCTCAAAACCAATGAAACTGGTCATCCATGAGGATTTTGTTTAAAATGACAAGGAAGTCATTCACAGCAGCAGCATCACGAGTTGGCTTGGCAGGTTCAAGAGCCCCCCGCCCCCACACACACACCCAGCACCCCCAATAAGCTACAATTTAAATTTAAACAACTAAGTATGTGTTTATGATGTTCGCAAAACGCAACTCCAAGATGAGTTCTCCGGTCACCGCCTTCCAACCAGATTACCGCATGAGCACCTCCTACGGCAGAAATTCTAGTTCGCTCCTGAGAGAGCAGGAAGAGCTGTGGAGCTCTGGGCCCTTTCTCTCCTCCTGAGCCCTGCCTTTGGTAGGAACACACTACAGATTTGTTCTTTAGTACGGGAGGGCCCACGACCTGGACATCTCCCTCTCCAAACACGAGCCAGCACCACAGCTCCCCCCAACCTCTTTCCCAAACACAAACCCAGCGGGCAGCCCCTCCCAGGCCCTCAGTCCCTACGGGAGGCCCCCTCCACTATCCCTTTCCCATTCAGAGAGACAAGCCCGTCGGTCTCCAGTCTTTCCCTAAACTCCAGAGCCACACCCCCTTCCGACACTGAAAACTTAGGGACGCGCCACAGCCGCCCAATACCCCGCCCCCGAACACCTGATAGATCCCGCTCCCCAGCTCTTCCCCGAAAGCAGCGCGCTGCAGGCGCCCGGACCGGTCCGAGCCAACTCCCCGGGGTCTTTACCGAGTCGCTGGGGGGAGCCGAAGCCTGGCTCGTCCGGAGGTCGCAGCGCCAGCACGAAAGGAACCAAGCTGGTCAGGAAGAGGAGACACTGCCTCATGGTCCCGGCCCGGCCACCAGCTCCACCTCTCAGGGCAGCCTTCACCAGACAGGGGCTCGGGACACTGCTCACATTGAGAGAGGAGGGGATCCGCCCGGGCTGGCCCAGCCCCTCAAGCCTCTCTTTCCTCCCGCGCCGCCTACCGGAAGACTCCAGAGCCCGGCTCGAGGTCCCCGGAAGCACAGGCAGCATTCCGAGAGGCCGGCTCAGCCCGCTTCCGGCCGCCGCCGACCTCCGCACCGCCCACAGCCGGAAGCCGGAAGCCGGGCGCCGCGCGGCATGCTGGGAGGCCCTCGCTCGCCCTGGCGCACAGCCACCTTGCCGCTCTCCCTCGGTCCGCCCTTTCTGGTCCCGCTGGGGCCCGGGCGGCGCCTATCCGAGCTTGGCTCGCGACGTCCTCACTCGACCCAGCGCGGCCTTACCTCTGTCCTCGGGTGACCGCCGCGAGGCAGGCGGAGCTCGCGAGCAAGCCCTCCTAGGCGCGTGCGACCCCCTTCTCGTCTTCGTCTCACATCTAGTTAGCATCCCTGTTATCCTTTTTACTAAACGACCTGTAGAACCCGCCCTGGGACCCAGAGCGTACGAGGAGGGACGCCTGGCCCAGTGTGCTCGGGGTGATGACCCAGCAACGAATTGTCTAGGACGAAGGACCAGCTCCGGGGAGCAGGAGCACCTGCGCCTGACCCCTGGGAACCCCGCGTCCAGGCGCCGGCTCCTGCGAGACCAGCCTCCTAGCCTGAGCGGGGTGTCCAGCTTGGCTCTCCGCGCTCAGCGTCTGACCACCCGCGACGAAGGAGGCCTCCGTCCTTTGTAAGGAAAAGTCTTTGTGGAGGGAAATAAACAGACTTCCTTAATGCAGTTTTTCTCAGTGGCCCCGCTGTAGGTCGCGGGTCTGCAAGCCCTTCCATAAACTAGAATCCTAGACGTAACTCCTCAACTGCGAGTACTGGAGCCAGAGTTCTCCCACCAACTTCTTTTTTTTTTCCCTTTTCCTCTCCCTCAAGCCTCCCCAGTACATAGATGTATATTCTAGTTGTGAGTGCCTCTGGTTGTGCTATGTGGGACGCTGCCTCAGGACGGCCTGATGAGCCTGCCAAGTCCGGCCCAAGATCTGAACTGGAGAAAGCCTGGCCGAAGCTCAGTGCTTGAACTTAACCATTTGGCCACTGGCCCTCCTGCTCACTTCTTAAAATTCAACTCTCTGCTGGGTCCCCTTTAGCTTAGATTGGAAAATTTTCAAGGCAGTTTGTGTATTGTTTTGCAATCCTTTGCATAATTTTAGCTCTGTGTAGTTAAGTGAGTGTTTATGGTACTGAATAAGACATTCTAATAACGTTGGATGCAGATTGCTATTTTGGTTCAAGTATATACGAGTAGGACATAACACATTTTCCACTTAAGAATGAATCGGGTAGCCTTTTCTCCATTATGAAATGGTAAATTGTTAGGAATGGAATATTAGTCCTGCTTAGTCAAGGGTCAAGGCTAGTTCCTAGTAAAATAAACTATGATTTCAATTTAGGTTCATTGTAGTATGCCTCAGTAAAATCTCAGCATCTTTTCCAATAGTCATTATGCATAGTTACTGGTTTCCTGCATTTTTTGCTTTGTGCATTTTTGGTCTGTTCATCTAAGGTATAAAATTATTCATTAGGGGCTGTCCTGGTGGTGCAACAGTTAAGTTCTGACGTTCTGCTTTAGCGGCCCAGGGTTCACCAGTTCGGATTCTGGGTGTGGACATGGCACCGCTTGGCAAGCCATGCTGTGATAGGTGTCCCATATATAAAGTGGAGGAAGATGGACATGGATGTTAGCTCAGGGCCAGTCTTCCTCAGCAAAAAGAGGAGGATTGGCAGTGGATGTTAGCTCAGGGCTAATCTTCCTCAATAAATAAATAAATAAATGCACACATTGATGGCAGACCCAATCAAAACATAAGCAGAATTTCACGTCTGCAAATTGTATACAATTTTTTAAAAATTGTATGCCATGGGGCCAGTCCCAGTGGCCTAGTGGTTAAGTTCCACACACTCCACTTCACCTGGTTTGGTTCCTGGGCACAGACCTACACCACTCTGTTGGCAGCCATGCTGTGCTGGCGGCCCACATACTAAAAAATAGAGGAAGATTGGCACAGATAGTAGTTCAAGGTGAATCTTCCTCAGCCAAAAAAAAAAAAAAAATTGTGTCCTATGAAAATGTGTCAATTGTGTACAATTTTTTTGGTACGATAAGAATATCATCGTATTTGCTGAGCATCCAGACACCATACTCTCCAACTTATAACGTTAATATGTCCTAGAACTTTAGTAGATTATATTCTTTTCGTGTCCCCCACAGTGCTCCTACAGAGCACTTTGCTATCTGTTTAATGCCATTTAAAAAACGTAAAGCTCTTGATTCACTTTCTTACTCATGCCCATAAGTCCTAGATTTTCAAGGACAGTACAGATTTTGAGATGATCATGTGATTTTTCTTCATTTTATTAATGTGGTGTATCACGTTGATTGATTTGTGGATGCTGAACAATCCCTGGAATAAGGACAGTCCAGATTTTAAGGAATATTTCCCATTCACAGATTAGGACCCAAATTTTGATTTTCAGTTTGAAGCATATCTTTCATTAATCAATTATCCATACCTTTAAGATAAACAAGCACCACGTGGGGGAGATAAAGAGCCAGAGGAAAGTGATGAGAGGGACACATTGGATAAAAAAACTAGTAGTCTGAGCCAGTGGTCTTCAAACTTTTATTTTCTTATCCCCAAAAGATATTTTTTTAATATGTACCCCCTAGATTCATTTAAAAAATTTTTCATCATAAATGTAAGTAGTTGCAAAGGATGAAACTTCCAGCAGGATGTAAATACTGACATTTAAAATTAAAACTGTTAGGTCATTCTTTTAAAGTTACCCAGCGGAATATAAATACCTGAGAGATTTGATAGCCACTGTGGAGGCCAACCTCCCAGATGGCCCCCAATGATCCCTGCTTCCTGATACCCACACCCTTGTGTAGTCGGTCTCCTTCCACACTGGACCAAGGTTGGTCTGTGTGGCCCATAGCCTACAGCAGAGGTGATAGTATTTCACTTCCAAGGTTAGGTTGTAACAGACTTGTCTTCCATCTAGCATTCTCTCTTGCTTGCTTACTTGCTTACTCTCTTTTGAATCACTTACTGGGAGAAGCCACTTTCATTTTATGAGAACATTCAGGAAGCCTATGGAGAGGCCCACGGAAATAGAGGTAACCAGCCCACAGCCAGCAAGTAACTGAGACCTGCCCAAATCTAGATGAATGAACTTGGAAGTGAATTTTCCAGCCCTAGGCGACCTTTGAGATGACTGCAATCCCCAGACCCAACATCTTGACTGCAACATCGTGAGAGCCCCTGAGCCAGAACCACCCAACTAAGCCGTTCCCTGATTCCTGACCCTCAGAAACAGGGAGACGATAAGTATGTGTTCTTTTAAACTCCTAAATTAGGAGTGATCGGTCACACAGCTATTATCACCCATTTAAAAAATACATGAACAAGTTAAGCGATCCCAGCCACCTCTCCCTAACGCCTGAAATGGTTTTTTTTTTAATTGTTAAATTTTTATTATTTTTAAACAATTGGCACCTGAGCTAACATCTGTTGCCAATCCTCTTTTTTTCCTTCCTCTCCCCAAAGCCCCCTAGTATATAGTTGTGGTCCTTCTGGCTCTGCTATGTGGGATGCCGCCTCAGCATGGCTTGATCAGTGCCATGTCTGCACTCAGGGTATGAACCAGTGAAACCCTGGGCCACCAAAGTAGAGCGCACGAACTTAACCACTCGGCCACGGGGCCAGCCCCCTGAAATAGTTCCCTTAACCTAGGACTCAATAAAGTAAGTAAAAGATTACTTGAGATTTGCTGGTCCCATGCTATAGAGTGAATTTTTTACAATTTACTTACTGCAAGTGAACGTAAAAGTAAAATAAATTATAGAGAGTAAAATATTTACAATTATTAAACACATATAGCTACAAATGGTTCTGTAGTTACCAGATCCACAGAATATTGGTGAGAACTTCCATCCTAACAACCAGAGAAATAGCTGTTTGAGTCTGGCTGAGTTTGCGGGTTTTTTCCCTTCTGTCATCCTAGCTCTATTTCTCTTATTACCCACTATTTGTCCTAAACCAGTCCCACCAGTCCTTATAGAAGTATAGTCTTCATCACTCTATTTCTAAAATGCTAATTATTCCTACATCTGTATGCTTTTTTGTCAGTGAACAAATCTGAGTGAAGTCAGCACTTCAAGAAGTTTGAGTCAATCCACAACTCTCCATCAGACAACAGACCCCACTTACTGGAATATGACTATATACAAAGTCATGTACCAAGAACTCTGTTTTCCAAGGTTTTATTTATTTATTTAAAGATTTATTTTTTTTCCTGAGGAGGATTGGCCCTGAGCTAACATCTGCTGCCAATCCTCCTCTTTTTGCTGAGGAAGATTGGCCCTGAGCTAATATGCATGCCCATCTTCCTCCACTTTTTATATGTGGGACACTGCCACAGCATGGCTTGCTAGGTGGTGCATAGGTCTGCACCTGCATCTGAACAAGTGAACCTCGGGCTGACGAAGCAGAATGTGCAAACTTAACCACTGTGCCACTGGGCTGGCCCCTAGTTTCCAAGGTTTTAGGTTCAGAAATTTTAACATATTTCAGATCCTTTTAGAAAGAAAAATGAAAAACATATTATGCATGGAGCTAAGCAGATTATTTGAGGATCCTCACTGATTAAACAGAGGACTCTTTTGGGAATTTTTTTTAATGGTCAAGAAAATAACCAGGCCTACTTGAGACTGGAATAATATTTCCCTCCAAGGGGCCGGCCCCATGGCTGAGTGGTTAAGTTCGTGCGCTCCACTTTGGCAGCCCGGGGTTCCACTGGTTTGGATCTTGGGCGGGGACATGGAACTGCTTGTCAGGCCACACTGAGGCTGCGTCCCACATGCCACAACTAGAAGGACCCACAGCTAAAAGATACAGCTACGTACTGGGGGGACTTAGGGGAAAAAAGCAGAAAAAACAAAAAAAGAAGATTGGCAACAGTTGTTAGCTCAGGTGCCAATCTTTAAAAAAAAAAATTTCCCTCCAAGTTCAAAAGAGAAGGAAACCAGCCATTTCATTGCAAATATTATTTCAAGAAGATGCA